CAGTATAGGTGACAGCCAGACAGTGCTTCTTTCCTTTGGCATCTGCAAATCCAAGTGCTTTCAGAACTGAGCTCTAGTGTTTTTCTCATTCCTGCAGAAAGAATGCAGAATCTCTTGCACAACTTACTGTAAGACTGCCCAGTGTGAGGAAGCGCATTACAGAAAGGACACAAGGGGGAGTTTTCTACAGCAGATCAAGCACTATGGTGCTTTCCCAGTGGAGTAAGAGTTTTATTTTTAGCAGGGTTTTAAGCTCTCCAAGGATGCTTTTCCTTAAGTCCCCTTCCTTCTCTAATTTCTGATTATGATCACCTTCAGGGGGATACAATTTTTGTATCATCTGTCCCATTGGACCTTCTGCAAGCGATCTGCGGCAGCCCTTTCCTGTGCACAGAGGCTGGCTCACATTTGTGAGTAGCTGTTAACACTGTGAAAGACCTGTCATCAAAAGCTCAGCTGCAGGGCCTGTATTGACTCACTGATACCTTTTTTTTTTTTTTTTTTTTTTTTTTTTTTTGTCTTTTTGAGACAGGGTCTCCCTGTAGCCCCAGCTGACCTGGAACTCACTGTGTAGACCAGGCTGGCCTCGAACTCACAGAGATCCACCTGCCTCTGCCTCCCAAGTGCTGGGATTAAAGGCATGCGCCACCACTATCACTGACCCTTTTTAAAGATGGCCTTTGAATTTCTGAGCTCAAGTGAGCTCCTTCCTCAGCCTGCCTCAGCCTCCTCAGGGGCTGGGAGTATAGACATGCAACCACCTTGTCTGTCTTCTGTCCTTTAATCTACAAAAAGTGAGGTTTTCCCGCCCCTTCTTCTAGTTGGTTACATGCAACACCAAATCTGTCCCTGGCAGGTTTTGTCCTGGGAATTCAGGGCCCTCAGATGTGTTGTGCCTAAAGAGCAGGGAAACTCCATCCCTTGCAGCCTTCTCTGCTGCAAAAGAAAGAACTCCTGAAGAGTCTGAAGTTGGACATCTGAGGAGTTTCAGGTTTTTTTGTTTTTCAGTTTCATTTCCTTAGTTTTGGGTTTGTTTTCTTTGAGCGGAGGTCTCACTATACAACTCAGTCTTGCATCAAGCTTGCTGTCCTCCTGCCTTAGCTTCTCAAGTGCTGAGACTACAGGTACTCATTACCGTGTCCAGCTGTTTCCTTCTAGATTACTATTGGAGGACTTTGTGTCTTCTTTTTGTGACTCTCCAAGTTGTAGCTTTAATTGTTCTTTGACTCAGCAAGGAACAAGGGGCTCTCTGTTTTGGGTGCTTTGACCAGTTATGCTCATAAATCTGACTTAAACCATGTAGCCCTTTATGATACAGCAGAAATCTCATCTTTTTCACCTCATTTTTAAAGTTCTGAAAAAAAATGACTGAATATATATGCAAAGTAATATTTAATGTAAGTAAATTCCTGCTGATAATAGCATATTATTACAAATAGAGTTGTCAGCTGGCTGAGCTTCCCTAGGATCTCCGGTGGTCGTTTTTCATTTCTTTGAAGAACTGAATATTTGCTACATGTGCTGGGCATGAAGGTAGAGAGCAGCAGAGCTGTGAGGCAGGCCCATGTGCTCCTCCCTTTGTTGGGTCCATCTCCAGCTCTGGTTCATGCTGTGGGACCTGCAAAGTTGAGGCCCCACTGTGGCACTTAGATCTCTTCTGAGGCACTGTGCAGGACTTAAATCATTAGAAGTAGCGTCTCTTCTGCTCTTCCCCATAGCAAAGGGCCTTCATTCTGTTTTGAACTTCACAAAGAAAAAAAGAATCATGTCTTTTTTCTTTATACTGTTGTTAGTGAAGCCTCAGTTCCTTTATTCTGTGGGATCCATAAGGATTTAAGGCAACCCGAGACAGTCCATACTAGTGTCCCATTGATGACAGAAACAAAACCTCAGCTGGGGGACAGCTCCAGTGCCATCCTGCCATAGATCCAAACTGAACGTGGAAAAATACAATTAGGCTGGAGAGAAGCTACATTTATCATGTTGTTTCCTTTCATCTTTCCCCTTCATAGTAGCCAATACAAAGGTGACATTTAGGACTATGTGTCTGAGTCCCTTCCACTTAGGCAACTGAAGGAACAAAGTGAAGTCTGTGCTCTATTCAGATGTCTTATTTCTTAAAAATCTCTCTCTCGCTCGCTCTCCCCCCCCATGTATGTGTGTGTTGTGTGTGTGCACATGCAGCATGTGTGGAAGTGAGAGGGCAACCTGCGGGAGTTGGTTTTCTCCTTTCACCATGTGGGGCCTGGAAATCAAGTGGCAAGCACCTTTACCTGCCAAGCCGTCTCCCCAGCCCCAGATGTCTGAATTTTTTTCCTTGTGTGTGTTTTTGTTTGTTTTTGTTTTGGTTTGGTTTTGAGGCAGGGTCTCACTTTGTAGTTCAAGCTGGACTTGCACTCACGATCCTCCTACCTCAGCTTCCTGGGTGCTGGGATTACAGGTGTACCACCACTACACATGGCAGATAAGTGGTTTTTTTCTACCCTGAAAAACTACAGCTAGATTAGACGGTTTCCCTTTTTGGATTGAATCCTTGTTGCTGACAGAGCCCTGTCCTCCCTTTTCATGTGGGGAAGCAGAATTCATCGAGAGCACAAGCTTGGGGAAAACTGAGCTGGGCTTCCCACTCAGCCACTTATAAACTGTGACCTTGATCAAGTTACATGATATCCCTTAGGCACTTTCCTCATCTGTAAAATGGAGTTACTAGCTGGGGCAGTGACTCAGTTGATGGTGCTTGCTATGCAAGCATGAGTACCTGAATTCAGATCTGTGAACTCCAGGTTTAGTGAGAGACCTTATCTCAAAAATTAGTGGGCTGGAGAGATGGCTTAGTGACTAAGAGCTCTTGGCTGTTCTTTCAGAGGGCCTGGGTTTGGTTTCCAGCATTCTCTTCTGGCCAATGTAGGCACTGCATGCAGCAAACAAAATAAAATTTAAAAAAAAATTTTTTTTGGTCTTTTTGAGACAGGGTCTCCTGTAGCTGCAGCTGGCCTGAATTCACTATGGAGACCAGGCTGGCCTTGAACTCAGAGATCCACCTGCCTCTGCCTCCCAAGTGCTGGGACTAAAGGCGTGCATGACCATGCTTGACTAAAATTTTAATTAAAGAGTGACTGAGGAAGATACTTGATGTTGGCATCACACAAACACATACACATGCACATATACTCACACATGAATGTGTATGCACACAAACACCACACTGCATGCAGCACAGTGAGTACACATACACACACACGTGCACACACACAAAATAAAAGCTGTTGCCCTGTTGGTAGAACTGAATGAAATAATGCCTGTAAACTTTCAGGTTTTTTTCCCCCCATTTTCATGTGTGTGCGCGCACGAATTTATGTGAAGGTCTGAGGTTGATATCAGGAATCAGTCTTTGATCACTCTTCCACCTTACTCATTGAGGCAGTGTCTCTCAGTCAAACACAGAACTTGCCAATACAGCTAGCTTTACCCACTGAGCCATCTCTTCAGCCCCTTGTAAACCTCTAGTTTTAATAAAGGCTCTGGTAAATGATTACTTCTTAATAAATCCCAGAGCAGTTCCAGAAGCCTCTGCTAGAAATCCAGAGTGATATGATCCTTCAGTAGTTTTATTTTTGTTTGTTGCTTTGAGGCAAAGTCTTAGTAGCCCAGGCTGTCAGTGAACTGATTCTACTGCCTCCACCTCCCAAGGGCCAGGGTTACAGATGTGTGCTCTCATGGCCTGCTTGTTAGCTACTTTTGAAAAAAAATTTGTTATTGTGTGTATGTGCACACACATGATATGTGTGAGTATGTGTGTGTGAAAGTGAGGGTGCACCTGTGCCACAGTGCACATGTTGAGGTCAGAGGTCAGCTTTCAGGATTCAGTTCTTCCATTGTGGATCCCAGGTTTGCACAGCAAGTACTTTTACCTTCTGAGCCATCTCACTAGTGCCCCTCCTCCCCCCTTTTAATCTTCCATCTGTTGATCAAGAGGAACTGTTGAGGTGTATAGTAGGTGCTCAATAAATATTTGTTGCATGAATTTGGAGCTTCAGGACTTTCCTTGACCTACTGACTTAAACAAGACTTTGCACTGTGAGTTTTGCACTGGGTAACATCCTGAGTGAGAAAACTGGCCAGGTAGACTTGAGAAATGCTGTGTCTACAGTGTGTAGATCTCAGCCCTCTGCAGATATATTCATATGTATCACCACTTTAGAAACTTGGTGAAAGTTGTAGAAAGAAGAAACCCTTGCTTCTTTAAGATTTATTATTGTATACTCTCTGTGTATGTGTGTGTGTGTGTGTGTGTATGTGTGTGTGTATGTGTATACACATCACATGTGTGTAGTGCTCATGGAGGGCAGAAAACAAAAAAAGTATGTCAGATCCCCTGTGAGCCACCTGATGTAGGTTCTGGGAACCGAGCCCAGGTCCTCTGCAAGAGTAGCAAGTGCTCTGAACCCCCTGAACCATCTCTCTAGCCCCCTCCCTCATTTCTTAAATTTTGCCTTTCTCAATTTGCATGCCTGAGGTGATGATGGAACCTCCTGAGGTGGCTCTGATGAGCCTGACAGCAGTGTGGAGATTTAGAACATACTGGGCAGAATGAGCACCACAAGGGCGCTCTGGACTAAATGTTCTTTAATCTGTGGAATCTTCTAGAATCCCTAACCATTCTCTTATTGACAACACATCTAAGTTCTTTCCAGGGGTACTGTTGTAGATAGTAATACAGTAAAAGCCATGTGTTCTTAGGCAGGTATTCTGTGGGAGAGGTTGCTGGAAGTAGGCTTGCTGCAACAGAAGATAATGGGCAGTCACAGTTTTGATAGGTTTCTGAACATTGCTTCCAAGATATGACTAGCCACGGTCTAACAGTTCATTTGTCCAGGAAAGAGATAAGCAACTGTCTTCCCCTACTTATTGTATCTTCTGTATCTTTCTCCTCCTCCTCCTGCACACCCTAACTGAAGTGGATAGAACACAGATCCACCCCTTTCTTCTCTGTCTTACAGAGTCTGGCCACAGATAAAGGACCAAAATGACTGACTCAAAATACTTCACTACGACCAAGAAAGGTACTGTCTGTTTCACCATGGGCCTAGCCTGTTTTGCCCCCATCCTCCTGCTTGCTTCCTGGGGCTGTGGAGCATGGGTAGGTAGGGCGGAAGCCTAAGGCACCAATGGGATTAGTGAACCAAAAACTTGAGCTGTTAATGGTGTAGGAACCTGGAAAGGAAGAACAATAGCTCCAAGTATGGGGAAAATGTCCTTGTTTTGTTCTCCAATTTTTAAAAATAAACATCCTGGTGAAAGTATACAATCCTATCACCAACGCTGCTGTGTGCGGGTGCTGGTCCTTATCTGTGGACATTGTTGTAGCAAGAATTTTTCATCCTGTTTTTCATTTGACGTTATCATAAACATTTCCCAACAGTTCTCATGACTCAGTATTAAGCCAGTTGAATTGCTGCACTGAAATTTGCTAATCTAGGCTTATGTCCTTGGAGACTTTGTTTCTTGCTACATCTAAGGAAATGGAGGACGTTGTTGTGGCTGACAAGTGTGCTTTAGCTTCTCTGACCAGCCCTTCCTTGCCTCCTCCTCCTTTCCAAATGAGGCTTATACATGCCTGCTGACTAGATGGAAAGACTCTTACAAGGTCTTGTTGAATCAACTGAGTCAGATCCTGAAGTCTGCATCATCATGTGTTTTGATTTATTTGTCCAGATGTTTTTTGTTTGTTTGTTAAGACAGTCTTGCCAGATGTGATGGCTCATACCTATAATCTTAGTATTTGAGAGGCAGGAGGATCAGTAGTTTAAGACCATGCTTGGCTAAATATCAAGTTCAAGACTAACCTGTTCTCTGCTGAGTACCACATTGTTCAATCATGTTTTTGTTTTTGAGACAGGGTCTCACTATGTAACTCTGGCTGGCCTGGAACTCACACTGATCTGCCTGCCTCTGCTTTCCAAGTGTTGGGACTAAAATTATGCTCCACCACACCCAACTTCAGAGATTTAAAAAAAAAAAAAAAAAAAAAAAATTATTATTTTTATTTTATGTGTATGTGTGTATTGCCTGCATGTATGTAAGTGCACCCATGTCATGCAATGCCAGCAGAGGACAAAAGAAGCTGCTGGATCCCCTGGAACTGGAGCTGCTGTTGGTTGTTAGCTGCCATGTGGGTGCTAGGATTTGAACCTGGGTCTTCTGTAAGAACAGTGTTCTTAACTGCTGAGCCATCTCTCCAGCCCTGGGATTTTTTTTTTTTTTTTTTTTTTGTCTCTTCTCTTTTTCAGAGCTGAGGACCGAACTCAGGGCCTTGTGCTTGCTAGGCAAGCACTCTACCACTGAGCTAAATCCCCAACCCCTAGCACTGTGATTAAAAAAAAAAACAAAAACAAAAAACTGCTCATTTTCTTTTTTCTAATTTTAAATCTACCACTACTTTCCCCTACATGATATTCTCTCCTTTACCTAAGTAACTTGAAAAGGAAATTCAGGGCTCTCTTTCTACATGTGGCTAATTAACAACAGCAGCTACCCTTAACGTAGAGCGGAGTACCAGGCACTGAGTAAACATTCCACAGCTGAGTATCAATGAGAGAATCATTGTCTAGTCAAGATAGAGGGCCAGGCAAAATAAATAAATAAAAAACAACAACAACAACAACAAAAATGGGTACAGAGAGGCAAAGGACTATCCAGGGTATGGCCACACATAGGGATTTAGAGCATGGGTTTTGAAAGAAACAGAACTGGTTTTCAACCTTGGTCCTTCCCACCTGTTGTCTGTGGGAACAGCCTCTATTTGCTTACCTGTAAAATGGGTAGAAAGGCGGTTAGTGAAGATGAAATGAGAAAAGGTATGGGAAAAAGTTAGTGTGGCACCAGGCTCAGAGAAAGGCTCGGGAAATTCAGTCTGCCCTTCTAACCTGTTAGCAGGTACTGACTATCTCCATAGAGGTGCTCAGAGCAACCCCACTTCCTCATCTCCTTTTTCTGTATCATCAAGTTCTTGAAAACAATTTATTGCATGCTGCAACCCTTTTAAGACAGCTGAATTCCCATTTCTAAACTGAGCAACCACTTATCATTCAGGAAGTGAAACCCTGAGCAAGCTATTTGAATTCAGGGTTCTGGGAAAACAGGAAAAGCCTTCATGCTGGATCAGTCAAACCTTGCCCCCTCCCCACAATCCCTGAGTAACCCACCAGTTCCATTCTACTCAGCTTTGAGGACATTGTGACAAGTGGGGAGACTGAGGAGAGCTTGCTATCTACTACAGTTTTTAGCAGTCTGTCTGAGCAGGTCTGTCTACATGCTGTTTACCTCTTTCAGGACCTTTGTGACCCCATGTTTCCTATTACTTCAACCCAACTTGGCCTTCAGGCTTCTATCACCACAATTTCTCTCCTAACCATCCCTCACTGTCACCTGTCTTACCTGAGGTCTGGAGCTTAAAGCTGCTGTCTACGTCTTCGGGGAAGTTAAAGCAGGAAATATCCACTAGCAGGGATGCATTGCTCATGCCTCCCTCCTTTCTTTAGGGGAGATCTTTGAGCTGAAGGCAGAACTCAACAGTGACAAGAAGGAGAAGAAGAAGGAGGCTGTAAAGAAAGTGATTGCATCCATGACTGTGGGCAAGGATGTCAGGTATGCCTATGACAACCTCATGCTGACGAGCTCGAGAGCTCATAGCTTGGCTCCAGTTCAGATCTCCCCACATCTCTCCTCAGTCAGCTTCTTTTATAAACTTCCCTTCCAAACATAAGATTCTGTTTGCACAGGAATGACAAGCTGAAATGCTGGTGGGTCAGTTGATAATGGAGTAAGTGACGCAGACTGGGTTGAAGGGCAGCAGGCATTGGAGAAGGGTGTGGTGGAAATCCTTTCAGAAGCTCTAGAAGATTGCTGCTGGTTAGGGAAAATGAATCCAGTATGGCCAGGTGTCCTAGTTTTTAAAAAGAGCAAGAATGTGGATTTTTATTTTAGCACTTGCTGTTTTAAATTGCCAGGGATATTAAACATACACACACACACAAGCAAGCAGGGTGGTCCAAGTAAAATGCATCTGAAGATTGAATTTTTCTGATTTGCTGGCAGTTTCCAACCTTAGGCTTATACCTGATAGCAAGAGCAGAGCACACAGAGGATTATACCACACCTTTGTTGGGACTCCTGCTGCCTGGAATGCCCGTTTGCCCTGCTCATCTTCCCATCATTTAAAAGCCATCCAAGGCTGCCTTCTGCTTCTTTCCTCATCACTCTAGCCTGCTGTCCTGAAGTCAATATGTTCTCTGTTCTGTCATCTAGCACCTAGTCTAGACTGTTCTTGTGTTGTATATTGAGAAGTCTCTAAAGTGATGGATTTTATGGTAGTTCACTAATTGCAGTTACAGGCCTGCAGAACAACTTCAGATACAGTTTTGCAGAAGTTCTTTGCACTTCCCGTTATAGGTAATGATGTTTTCATTGCCAAGATATGAGATAATGAATAAGGAAAATGACTACCTAAGAGTCATATGGCTGTTAGGCCATATGATGGCAGAACTAGAACTCAAACATTGACCTTCCAGAATCTAAATCCAAGCCTTTTGGACCCTGTCCTTTGCTTTATGGTGCTAGCCCATACCAGAGGTGCTCATGTCCAGCAGCCCCTGACTAAGTTGCACAGAATGATCCCACTGTTCTAGACTTCCTCACAGATTACATCCCATTGGGAACCTCAGCAAGCTTCTCCTGCCACTGGTTTGGGAGAGTCCTTAGCAGAGACCTCCTGAGAAGAGAGTGTTAAAGGATTGGCCTTCTGGGCCAGAGAGATGGCTCAGTGAATAAAGGCACTTGCTGCCAAGCCTGAAAACCTGAGTTCAATCTCTAGGATCTACATGGTGGAAAGAGAACTAACTCCTGTAAGTTGCCCTCTGACCTCTACACATGTACTATGGCATGTGCTCCCCCCCAATAAATTAATTTAGAAATATTTTTCAAGGATTAGGTATAGACTGGAAAACTGGGCCTCTTTCCAAGTCTGATTCCTTCCAGAAGAAAAAAAAAAAAAAATTCTCTCCTTTTATTAGAGCACTGCTATCACCTCATGTCTTTGTCCTTCTGCCTCAGAAGAGCTTGCTTGCTGATGGGATGGCCTGAGAGAGCCATTCATGCCTTTCAGCATTTCTCTTCCTATCCCCTCCAGCCAGCTCTGTTCTAATGCATCATCTTTAAGGTGACTTCATTCATTGCAGCTCTGGGAGAACCTTGCCTGTGGAGACACACAGTTCATATTGACCTCTTAATTCTTTAATATTACCTTGTCCTTGTCAGTGAAAGCCTAATAATTGAGAAATAAGGTGATGGTTCCAGTACATGCCATGTAATAAAGGAGGTGGTCATTCCACTTCCAGAAAATTGATCTCTGTATTTCCTTTTTTTAAAATTACATTTATTTGTGTGTGTGTGTGTGTGTGTTTTTCCTCAATGGACAACTTGTGGGAGTCAGTTCTCTCCTTCTACCATATGGATCCTGGGGCTCCTTTTACCCTCTGAACCATCATAGGGAGGCCTGATTCTGAGCTCATTAAGGAACCATGTTGGGAAGGGTCCCACCAAGTACAGCAAGAGCTGGAGTCAGACCTGGCTCCTTAAACAGGCTATCTGACATTTCAGAACCTAAATGTTATTTGTGAAATAAGGATACTCCTCTCTCCTTCTACCATATGGATCCTGGGGCTCCTTTTACCCTCTGAACCATCATAGGGAGGCCTGATTCTGAGCTCATTAAGGAACCATGTTGGGAAGGGTCCCACCAAGTACAGCAAGAGCTGGAGTCAGACCTGGCTCCTTAAACAGGCTATCTGACATTTCAGAACCTAAATGTTATTTGTGAAATAAGGATACTCCCCTGGCTTCTTGGGCTGTTAAATGAGGTGAAATGTGGTCCAACCTTTACCACCAATCCTGGCCTATAGTGTGTGTTCCATACATGCTTTGCTAGTTCTTAGTGAGTATCGGAGCTGTCCCTTGTGATGAAAGCAGCACAGCCCTGCTTCCCTGTGATACTCTAGAACCATGCTGTCTGGTTAAATATCACAAGCCCCTGGTGAAGTGGGTTTCTGGAGGTCGAGAGGAGTGCTGGGAATTGAACCCCAGGCCTTGTGCATGTCAATAAGTGCTCTACCACTGAGTTCCACCCCCAACCCCAAAGTGAGTTTCTGTTGTATCTCTCTTAGAAATGAGGAAGGTGATGCTTGGGAGCTGAAGGAAGTTTCTGAGTCATATATCTAAGAAGGGGTAGGACTGACTTTGATGGGCTCCACTTCTCTTGTTTGAACCCTATGAAAGGAACAAAGAGCTTTTAAATTTAATTTTTTTTTTCATTTAACCACTGAGCCATCTCTCCAGCCCTTTTTTTATTTTATATGTATGAGTGTAATGCCTGCATGTATAGATGTTCCCATGTCATGCACTGCCCACAGAGGTCAGAAGAGAGTGTGGGATCCCCTGGAATTGGAGTTACAGACGGTTATTACCGCCATGTGGGTGCTAGGAGTCGAACCTGGGTCCTCTGCAAGAGCAGCCAGTGCCTTAACCACTGAGTCATCTCTTCAGCCCCCAAAGAGCTTTTTTTTTTTGTTGGTCTTTTTGAGACAGGGTCTCCCTGTAGCCCCAGCTGGCCTGGAACTTGCTGTGTAGACCAGACTGGGCTTAAACTCACAGAGATCCACCTGCCTCTGCCTCCCAAGTGCTGGGATTAAAGGCGTGTGCCACCACGTCCGGCCTCCCCAAAGAGCCTTTAAAAATCACTATTTGGGTTTCCTTTACTATGGTCAGGTGTTCTTGCCTTCCTTTTTGCCAGGAAGTCCTGCTTATCCTCCTCCTTCACTGCTTCTCACTATCTCTCCCCATTTTCCCCACTGACTGCCTGAAAAGCTTACTCTTCTGTCTTCAGCCTGCCCCTCTATTGACACCACTCTGACATTACAGTGCCCTCTTCCCTGATGTGGTAAACTGCATGCAGACAGACAACCTGGAACTAAAGAAACTTGTGTACCTGTACTTGATGAACTATGCCAAGAGTCAGCCTGACATGGCTATTATGGCTGTCAACACCTTTGTGAAGGTGAGTAGGAACCCAGTGGGAGTGCTCACAGGCTGCTCACGGTCCTGTGTCCCCATCTATTTATGGTGGTGGGGCCCTCTGTCTTGGATGGAACTCTCAAACCCCTTTCCAGACCTTCAGGCTTCTTTTGCCTGGGCAGGCTGATGGCGTCTTCCTCCAGCAGAGGGCTCCCTCTCTCTTCAGATCTGCAGGCCTGAAGGCCATGCCTCATGCATTATTCCCTGTGAGGTTGTAGCAGTCTGGGCCACTGCCCTGTGTCCTTTGCTAGGGCAGAATTCAGCAAACATCTGAGAGCAGCTCTGATCCCTTTCCAGATGACTCCTTTCTACATTTTCTGTCACCAGATAAGAAGCAAAGCAGGAGCTTGAATGCTGACTCCTCTGATCCTATTGATGCTCATATACAGTAAAATAAGAGTTTCTGTGGCAGCAAAAAATTGAGGCCATAAAGCCAGGTGTTATTTTACACACTTGTAATCCCAACACTTGGGAGGCTATGGAAGGAAGATTGCTATGAGTTCTAGGCCAGCCGAGGCTACATAGTTCTGTGCTAGCCTGAGCAACATGGCAAGACCTTATCTCAAAAAGAAAAGATTGAGAGCTGTGGTGCTAGGTGTACTGCTCTCCTCTGTCGTGACTTTGAGTAAGCATATAACCTTCTCCCGAGTCTCAGCTTCCTTGCTTGTGAAACAGCCTCTGGGATCTGCAAAGACTGTGTAGAGCCCCTCACACAGAATCTGGCAAATGGCCTGGCTTCCATTATGTGGCATTTAGTTTGGGTATTGGCGTATGGTTAATGGAGATCCCACAGCAGCTATCTGATATTGCTCAGAGCTACAGGCCAGGAAGAATAGGAAGCTATAGGCAATTCATTCTGCCCCTGCCCCTGACCAATGGCTGGTTCCCCTCAGGACTGTGAGGACCCCAACCCCCTCATCCGGGCCCTGGCTGTGAGGACCATGGGTTGTATCCGAGTTGACAAGATCACAGAATATCTGTGTGAGCCACTCCGGAAGTGCTTGAAGGACGAAGATCCCTATGTGCGCAAGACTGCAGCTGTGTGTGTAGCCAAGCTCCATGACATCAATGCCCAGCTGGTAGAAGACCAGGGTTTTCTGGATACTCTAAAAGACCTCATCTCTGACTCTAACCCCATGGTAAGTTGCTGGTGATCATTATGATACCTTCATAACCTTCTGGATTACTTGGGAAGACCTTGCCTTGACCCTCTACCTGGCTTTCTCTTTTCTTAGAAGTCAGGGCCTTTCTGAGTGCCTAGTTTGCCTGTGCCTTCCAGTGGTTTGCCGGGAACTAGACCTGGATTTCCCTCTTTGACCCTCTAACCAGCTACATGACTTTAGGCAAAGACTACCTAATCTTTTAGAGCTTTTTTTGTCTTATAAGATTCTGGGAAGCTGGGGCTGGAGAGATGGCTGAGTGGTTAAGAGCACTGACTGCTCTTGCAGAGGACCTGGGGTTCGATTCCCAGCACCCACATGGCGGCTACGAACCGTCCTTAACTCCAGTTCCAGGGGAATCCGATGCCGTCTTCTGACCTCTGTGGCATTGCACGGCATGGGTACATTCACATATATGCAGGCAATACACTCATGCACATAAAAATAATAAAGTATTAAAAAATAAATAAAATATTTAAATTTTTTAAAAAATTAAAAGAAAAAAGATTCTGGGAAGGTAACATGACTTGCCTTGGTTGGCCTGACCTGGCATATGGTGACTGTCCAATCTGTGCTGGTGTCTTTCTTCCCTTTCCAACACTGTCATTGTCACTATCTCCCTACCAAGACTACCTTAAGCTCCAAGTATGTGGTTCTCTTCCTTTCCCCATATCCTCACAGGGTTGTAGAGAGTTACCCTTAAAGTAACATAGTGTGGTGGCGGCTGGAGAGATGGCTCAGCAGTTAAGAACACTGGTTGTTCTTGCAGAAGACCTGGGTTTGAATCCCAGCACCCACATGGCAGGTAACAACTGTCTGTAACTCCAGTCCCCAGAGGATCCGACAGCCTCTTCTGACCTCTGTGGGCATTGTACGACACAGGTGCACTTACCTACATGCAGGCAATACATGCACACACATAAAATAAAATAAAAAGTAACATAGTATGGAAGAGAGGACACCAGGATGTACTAGATGGGAAACTCAGAATCCTCACTCACTGTGATAGGAGTTTGCAGTAAAATTTGGCAGGATCTGTAATCTCAGCACTAAGAAGGCTGAGGTAGAAGGATGGAGAGTTCAAGGCCAGCCTTCTGGGTTGTATAACAAGATCCGGTCTAAAAAATTTTAAATATATAAGAAAAAAAAAGTACACAAAAGCCTGAGCACGGTCCTTATACTGTACCCAACAGAAAACACTGATAGATCCCAGGAACTGAGCAGTCAGTACGAAAACTGGCAGCTGGGACACTGCCATAGGGAAAAGTTGCAAACTTTTATGTGTAGACTACACATAAAAAGAGCTGCCCTGGTAGAAATACCACTTGGCAACACTCTCTGTACTCAAGACCCATCCCTTCCCAGCAGCCTGGAGGAGGTCTGCAGGGTCTTCTGTTGCTGAGAAGCATAACTGACAGTCCCTGAAATTAGCTGCTGGAGCTGGTAGACGGGGCTTTTGGGTTGGTAGCAGGCATTGCCGTCCATTGCCAGGTACCTGGCACTCAGCCTTTCTTGCCTATTTCTTTCTAGTGACAGGTGCACTTACTTTAGTTCTGCATTGCAGAGGAGTCAGTTGGATGAGTGTAATGGGTTGGACCTTCTTGCTTCTCCAGACCTTGGCCACGGGGTCATAATCATTTCATAATATCCCACTTCTGACCAGTTTATGTCATTAGTCCCTTTGCTTCCTGTCCTGAACAGTACTCTTAGCCTCTACTCCTTCCACCTTCTCAACTAGGTGGTGGCAAATGCAGTGGCTGCTCTCTCAGAGATTGCTGAATCTCACCCCAGTAGCAATCTGCTTGACCTGAACCCACAGTCCATCAACAAGCTGCTGACAGCGCTTAATGAATGCACTGAGTGGGGCCAGATCTTCATTCTGGACTGCCTGGCCAACTACATGCCCAAGGATGACCGTGAAGCCCAGAGGTGAGCAAACAAATCCCTTGCTGGACATGATCCTCAGGGGGCTTGTGAGCTAGGCCTCAGGCCTAAATGGACCTCTTTCCAGGCCTTCTCTGCCCCCCAGCATCAGACACACCTCAAGGGAGCCAGCCAGCTTCTCATCTCCAGTGCTAGGTAGTCAATAGTGTGGCATCAGGCAGTGAGCTCTCTGTTTGCTCTGGACATAGATCGGGTGTGGTCAGGAACTGACAAGGAGCCTTCTGGGCTGAGTCAAGAGCTATGTAGCTTCAGAAACATCATTCATTAAATTCTCACTGGATGCCTGGCCTTTGCTGGATACCTTCCACACATTAGGTAATCTTTAAATCAAGTTTGAAGTATGTCTCGTTATCGTTGACCATCTTACAGATGAGGAGACTAGAGAGGTGGAGGGCATTGTGCAGGTCACTCAGCTGCAGTTCATTCATGATCAGTATGAACAAGTGCTTTAGCAGTAGGGGGAAGGAAAGGACATTTATAGGGTATTTACTATGTGTGAGACACTGTGTTCATTCTTTGTGTGTATTGTTTCACTTAAGCTTATAGCAATCCTATGAAACAGACATGATCATAGAAACTTTTAGGTGAGGAAGCAGGCTCAAAGTGCTTTGAGCCTGTGTAGAGTTAGCAGGCAGTAGATTCAGAAGGCATTCCTCTTTAGAAGACATGCTGCCTTTGGATGGCGGTATAGCTCATTTGGTAGAGTACTTGCCAAGCATGCATGATGCCCTGAGTTTCTATCCCCAGTACCACATAAATAGGAATGGTGGTTTATGTCTGTAATCTCAGTACTTAGAAGGTGGTGGCAGGAGGATCAGAAGTTTAAACTCAGGGCTGAGGCTGTAACTCAGTGGTAGAGCACTTGCCTCAGATGTCTGAGGCTCTAGGTTCATTACTAATACTAAAAAAAAATTTTTGACTTGAGACGTTCAAGGCCATCCTTGGCTACATAGTGCATTTGAGACCAGTCTGGACTACTTGAAAAAAAGAAAAAGAAAAAATGCTATTTTGATAAGTAAAATCGGGACTTGTCCCTTGTCTATCTCTTGTTTCCTTGGCTGGACCCCAGCATCTGTGAACGGGTCACTCCTAGGCTCTCCCATGCCAACTCTGCTGTGGTGCTGTCTGCTGTGAAGGTACTGATGAAGTTCATGGAGATGTTGTCCAAGGACCTGGACTACTATGGCACACTGCTCAAGAAGCTGGCCCCACCCCTTGTCACGCTGCTGTCAGCAGAGCCAGAGCTGCAGTATGTGGCCCTGCGCAACATCAACCTCATTGTTCAGAAAAGGTACTGACACCACCACACATACTTGCCACATGCTGGAGACAGGGACCCTCAAGAGAAACTGACCTGCTACCATGCAGGAAACCTAAGGAGTATTTGAACTCAGAGGTTCTCAACTAAAGCACCTTTGCCCCTCAGGGGGCATTTGGCAATGTCTGGAGTCACATTTGGTTGTGAGAACTGGAGGCTGCTGCTACTGGCATCCAGTGGGCAGAGAGACCAGGGACACTGCTCAGTATTCTATAATGCTGGACAGTCCCTTACAAGAAACTGCCTGACCCAGAATGACAAAAGTACCAAGGTAGAGAAACCTTGGCTCAATCTAAGGGCAGGTAATGGCAAGAATGGAACCTTTTCTCCTTGAGATTGGGTGGCTCAGAGTCCATAGTGTCCTGAAGGGGAGGGTGAACATTTTGCATGTAGAGTTCATAGGTATCAGATTCCTTGGCTTTGGAGGCCTTATGGAATGGAAAGACTTGGCAGCAGCCTTAAGACCTGTGGGGAATAGAGCAGAATGCTGGCCAGCCTACTTCCTTCCTCCAGAGGGGGTGACAGCAGTAAGTCACTGCTCCCAAGAAAGGTATCTGGTTCTGGGTGGGTAAGAGCTGAAACAGGTTAAGCAGGCTCTGGATCTGAAGTGTCTCTGGAATGACTGCCTTCTTCCTCTGAGGCCTCTCTGAGTATAGCTGCCCTGTAGCCAGGACGAGATCTGCCTCTTGAATTCTCCTCCCAGCCTTTAGTCAAATGGATCTCTCTGTAATTAGTTGGTAATAGCAACTAATCTTAACGTTTTGCTGCTGGGGCACAGGGCACACAGTGAATAAGGCCCCTTGGAGTCATGCTCTTGAAAGGTAACATGACCCTCTTGCAGCATCAATCTGATTCTTGATATCTTATTAGAGGCCCATAGATTTGTGAATATTTGGAAGGTAACTATGGATAAAGCTTTCCAAGTACCTAAACAAAATGATATGACTAGGGCTTTGCTGTTGCAGTGTGGGTCTTTACATATTAGTACCAATGGGTCACTGGAGTTAGAGTGCAGAGACTTGTAGAACTAGATTAGCATGAATGGCTCTCTGTGCTTTATTTAACACGATAATCTCTTAAGAAATTGTCTGTGTCACCCAGTCATGGCCTAGGCTAGCCCTGACATGTGACTGGACAGCCTTTGTTAAGTCCTGATTACAGAAATCATCCTCATACTTCCCATCTTCAGGGTCTTACCTGCCCCATGGAACTCCACAAAGGCTCCTCAGCCTGGCTGCCCCCATAGCTTGTACAACACTGATCTTGAGTTCCTTTTCCCTCTGCAGCTATCACTGAACTTCATCCCCAGTTGTCATTTTCTTTTTTATATGTATGAGTGTTTTGTCTGCATGTATGTAAATGTACCGTGTGTGCACAGTGCCTACAGAGACCAGAAGAGTGTGTTGGCTTCCTCTGGAATTATGGACAATCATTAGCTGCCATATGAGTGCTAAGAACCAAACCTGGGTCCTCTGTAAGAGCAGCCAGTGCTCTTAACCACTGAGCAATCTCTCCAACCCTGTGACTTTGTTTTTGTTAACTGATTTCTGTCCTGGAAAGAACATGGACGTAGGAGCTATCCTACTTCTATCCTATCCATAGAATAGGGACTATCATCTCCTCCCCTTTTAGTGTGTGATAAATGCAAGCTTCACAACCTCTCTGAATTTCCTTGTCTTAGAAAAATGTGTTCAGTGGTGCTATTTGAGGGCAATGGGCAGCAGTGTGTTACCTTAGAGGGAGAAGCAGTGATACATTTTGATAACTAGTGTCAGCTCCTGCTGGCAAGTACCTTCTCTCAAAGGCAGGTATCAGTCATGCTAGGCGCTTCATCTCTCATTCTCACAACTGGCCTATTGTGCAAGAGTCTGTGTCTCAGTTCATAAAACCATCCCCATATTCAGAGATTGACAACCATGGCCCAGCAGTCATATTCATGCTTAAGACTTAGAGTGGCCAGGTGTGGTGTCACACACCTTTAATCCCAGCACTCAAGGAGGCAGAGGCAGGTGGATCTCTGTGAGTTCAAGATCAGCCTGGTCTACATAGTGAGTTCCAGGCCAGCTGGGGCTACAGGGAGACCCTGTCTCAAAAATACCCAAAAAAAGACCTAGTGTGATCCCACAGCTGGATCATAAAGGGGATTCTGGAGGAATCTGTGGGGTCACCAGAGACCAGCAACATGTGTAGAATGTTTCTGCCCAGGAAGCCTAATTGAGACAGAGCACCTAAGGTGTTCATTAGGGACAAACTCCAAAATTTCAGGATTCTAAGGAAAGCAGGTGTTGAGCATAAACTATATTGTTTATGAATAGTCTAGGCACTTTTATCATTGAATGAGCATGGTAAATGTTCCTAAAACTTGAATTAACACATGCCAGGCCTAATACTTGGAGATTCATGCCTCTGGTGGTAGCACTTTCCTCCATAGTGTCATTCCTATCTTGTGGATTAGGACACAAAGCCTGAGGTCACACACTGGGATTACAGCCCTTGCCTGCTGCCTGCTGTCCTTGAATGTGAACTCCCTCTTAGCCTCCCAAGATACAACCAGACAGGCAGTAGTCACACAGAATCTCTGCCTACATGGCACAGTCCTGATGGAGGCTTTGCCTCCCTAGACATCAGGCTTCACCTGTAGCCCCAGCAAATGTGGAAGGGCTTTTTCCTGAGGCTTATGCCTTTTATTGTTCTCTGGGCATCCTACCCTACTACCAGGCCTGAGATCTTGAAGCATGAGATGAAGGTCTTCTTTGTGAAGTACAATGACCCCATCTATGTGAAGCTGGAGAAACTGGATATCATGATCCGCCTGGCCTCCCAGGCCAACATTGCCCAGGTAAGCAGACTGTGGTGGTGTAGGGTGTAGGCTTTGGTATCTGGCAGCTTTGTTGCTCACCAGCTAAGTCTCTGGGTCTGCTGAGGATGTCACTGTTAACAGTTCATCTCATGGTGAGTTCAACATGAGGCCTAGGGCTCTATAAACTAGTGAAAACAATTTTTGGTTTTCTGAGACAGGGTCTCCCTATAGCCCCAGATGGCCTGGAACTGGCTGACTGCCATCTCGCAGAGATCTGCTTGCCTCTGCCTCTTGAATGCTAGGATTAAAGGTGTACCCACCACACCTGGCCCTAAAAAGACTATTTTCTATTACTAAAGAATGTTCCTGGGGCTAGAGAGATGGCTCAGCGGTTAGGAACACTGGTTGTTCTTGCAGAAGATCCACGTTCGAATCCCAGCACCCACATTGCAGCCAGCAGCTGTCCGTAACTCCAGTTCCAGAGGGTCTCACAGCCTCTTCTGTTCTCTGCCGGCATTGCACGACATGGGTGCCCTTACCTAAATGCAGGCAATACATGCATACACATAAAATAAAAATAATAAAATAAAAGTTAAAAAAAAATGTTCTCAAGCAATACATGTGGGCACATGTCTAAAGTCCAGCTACTTGGTGGGCACATGTCTAAAGTCCAGCTATTTGGGAGACTGAAACAGGAGAATCACTTGACTTGAGATCAAGACTAGCCTGGACTACAAAAGGAAACTCCTACTGGACGTGGTGGCCTGCGCCTTTAATCCCAGCACTAGGGAGGCAGAGGCAGGTGGATCTCTGTGCGTTCAAGGCAAGCTGAGACTACAGAGAGACCCTGTCTCAAAAAGACCAATAAAAGGAAACTCCCTACACACTTTCAAAAAATATTCTCTTTATTCTCCCTATTATTACCTATCGTGTGTTCACTAAAAAGTGATAGGGGACTAGGGAGATAAGTCATTCAGTAAAATGCTTGCTGTGCAATCATGAAGATCCGGAATTGGTCCCCAGAACCCATGTTAAAAACCTGAGTGTGGTGGTGTGCATTTATAATCCCAGCACTATAGAGGTGGACTCAGGCAGATCCCTGGGGCTTTCCAGCTGTCCTAGCCTCATTAGCAGGGTCCAGGCCAGTGAGAGAACCTGCCTTAAAAAACAGGGTGGAAGGGCTGGAGAGATGGCTCAGAGGTTAAGAGCACTGACTGCTCTTGCAGGTGACCTAGGTTCAGTTTCTAGCACCTACATGACAGTTAACTGTAACTCTAGTTCCAGGGGAATCCAGTGCCATCTTCTGATCTCTGTGGGCATTGCATGACATGGGTGCACTTACATACATGCAGGCAGTGTACTCATATACAAGAATAAAAATAATAAATTTTTTATTGAAAAAACAAAAGGTAGCATTACTCCTGAGAAATAACACCAAAGTTGTCCTCTGGCCTCCACCCACATGTGTACACGTGTGCATGCACATCACCACACATAAAAGTGGTAGTTGGGGCTACAAATGTACCTTGGTAGTTAGAGTGCCTAGTTAGGATGATCAAGGCACCAGGTTCAATCCCCAACACCGCACATAAACAAAATGTATTTGGATATAGCAGCTAATCACTATAAGGAAGGGTTTTTCAGCCTTGCCACATAGTCTCTACCTTCTTTTTGGGGAACCTAATGATACTCTTAGGCTTTCCACTGTGAGCAGATGGCAGATCCAGTTCTTTTAGGAGTTTCTGCATTCCCATTACCCAAGAGTGATAAAACACCATGACCGAGGAAGAGTTTGAGCTTAGGGTTCCAGGAGTAAGGGTCTACCCTGGCAGGAAGGCATGATGGAAGAATGTGACTGGAGCAGATACAGATAAGCTGGCACAGGAAGCAGTGAGAGACAGGAAATCCCACAAGACCTAACAACTTTCTAAAATTTTTCATTTATTTTTTAAATTTTATTTTTGTTTTATATATATATATATGTATGTATGTATGTAAGTGGACCCGGATCGTGCAGAGCCCACAGAGACCAGAAGAGGATGTTGGAGCCCCTAGAACTGAAGTTACAGATGGCTATTAGCCACCTTGTGGGTGCTGAGAATCAAGCTTGGGTCTTCTGGAAGAGCAGCCAGTGCTCTTAACCACTGAGCCTTCTCTCCAACCCCAGACTTCAGAACTCTTAAAGCCCTCTCCCAGTGACATGCTTCTTTCAGCAAGGCCAAATCTAAAACCTCTCAAAACAGCGCCACCAACTAGGAACAAAATGTCCAAATACTTGGAGCTTATGGGGGACATTCTTATTCAAACCACCACACCGCCTCAACCCATTTTCAATGTTTGGACCACAGGTATTGGCAGAACTCAAAGAATATGCTACAGAAGTGGATGTGGATTTTGTACGGAAGGCAGTGCGTGCTATTGGTCGCTGCGCCATCAAGGTGGAAGTGAGTAGGTTCTAAGATTCCATCCTAAGCCAGGAAAGGGAAGGCTGTTGAAACCAGGAAACAAGTTTGATCCTAATAGCTGCTTAGGGTCCAGGAAGTGCAAGGGCCTCTACCAGAGTCCCTAAAGTACCCAACTATGCAGATCTGGTTGACTCCTCTCTGTAGTCTCCTTTAGGCCTTTGAGTTGCTACAGGTAAAATCAACCCATGCAGCATTAGCTAGGCCCACGGGACAGCCACCAGCTCATGGGGGCCCTGGTAGACATTTTTCACTTCATAGAGCTCTGGGGGTAGGAGCTCTGCCTGATAAATACTTCATAGATATCTTGAGCTACTGGGCTTCTTTCTCAGAGCTCCCCACTGCCTTCTATACCTGTGTCTTGGCATTTTATCCCCTATCACTGCCTAGGAAGCTGTTCCCTAACTACTGACGTGCGTTGCCCTTAAATGGGTTCACTGGTGTCTTGAGAAACCTGGGTCAGGTGGTCATCCCCAGTCTAAACCCTTGAGGTATTTTGAGGTGTTTTCCCCTTGGTATTTATAATGCCATCCTAAGACATCTCCCCTACTGGACCATTAATGTAGTATGTAGGAAGAAAGCAGAAAGGCAGACCCAGAGACTTCGTGGTTTTGGTCATAGAAACCCATTTTATGAAACAAGTAAGGGAGGTGAAGCCAAAGTGAGGTCTCTCTGTCCTTGGGCTTTGCCTGAAGGAGCTCCATGGACCTCATGCTGTCAAGAGCAGTACGTCTGACTTTTCTGCCATCTCGTTCTATTTCCATGTCCCTGACATCCAGGCTGTCCCTTGCCCTTGTTTTCTTCCCCCATTATTGAGGGAGAGCATTCTCCTATTCTCATGTGACAAGGAAGGTAGGCAAGAAATGACTTAAGCTGCTTGACCTAGGCATGATCATTAGTACTCTATTGGAAATGGTGTAGAGACCCTTGCCCACACTTCCTCCTCTTCCCACACAGCAATCTGCAGAACGCTGTGTGAGCACATTGCTTGATCTCATCCAGACCAAGGTCAATTACGTGGTCCAGGAAGCCATTGTGGTTATTAAGGACATCTTCCGCAAGTACCCCAACAAGTAGGTGTCCAGCCCTCATGCGGTGAAAGTAGCCTCCCCTCCCTTTTCCCTTCCACAGGCAGAAGAAACCTTTTGTCTTTCTTTTAAAATGTTTTATTTAATGTGTATGCATGTATTGCCTGCATGTACGTAAGTGTACCTGTGTCGTGCAGTGCCGGAGGAGGACAGAAGAGGCTGTCAGATTCCCTGGAACTGGAGTTATGGACAGTTGTTAGCTGCCGTGTGGGTGCTGGGATTCACGCCCGGGTCTTCTGCAAGAACTGTCAGTGTTCTTAACTGCTGCGCTCTCTCTCCAGCCCCCTTGTCTTTCTTTAAAAAATATATATATATATTTTATGTGTATGAGTGTTTTGCCTGCGTGCATGTTAAGTGCACGAGTCATACACTGCTTATGGAGGCCAGAAGAGGGCATCATTGGATCCCCTGGAACTGGAGTTATGGATAGTTGTTAGCCACCACGTGGGTGCTGGAAACTGAACTCAGGTCCTCTGGAAGAATAGCCAGTGCTCTCAACTGAACCATCTCTTCAGCCCCCCCTTTGATCTTTCTTTCATCCAAGCTGGCTCTCCTATGCTCCCCAGGCTAAAATAAGAGCTAAACTCTAGCAGATAAAACATCCAATCTTTATCTCCTCTCAGGGACTGGGCAGCTGCCTATCTGCCTTGTCTCTTGCCCCTCCAACAGACACACATTAGCCAAGTTTCCTCATTGCTCACACACTGGCTCTACCCTGCTGTCCTAGGTATGAGAGTGTGATTGCTACACTGTGTGAGAACCTAGACTCCCTGGATGAGCCTGAGGCCCGGGCTGCCATGATCTGGATTGTGGGCGAGTATGCAGAGAGGATTGACAATGCTGATGAGCTGCTAGAGAGCTTCCTGGAGGGTTTCCATGATGAGAGCACCCAGGTAAGCCTTCAAGAGGACAGAACCTTGACTGACAGCTTGGCCCATTGTGGCCTATCCTGTCCCTAAATCCTCTTCTCTTCATACTGTATTTCTGGTATAACAGACATTGGTGGGACAAGCTTGGTTTGGCCTCTTTTCCTTCCCTTCAGCAGTTCCTCAGGGTACAGGAAACAGTCTTTGGTTGCATGGAGGGTGGGCGGCAGTTTCTGGCTTTGATTTAATGTGTACTAGTGTATTCCTTGCATGTAGGTAGGTGCACCCATGTCATACAGTGCCCACTGAGGTCAGAAGAGGGCTTTGGATCCTCTGGAACTGGAGTTACAGATGGTTGTTAGCTGCCATTTGGGTGCTGGGAATTGAACCCAGGTCCTCTGCAAGAGCAGTTAGTGCTCTTAACCTCTGACCCATCTCTCCAGCCCCAATTTATTCTTTGTTTTATTTTTTATGTGTATGAGTATATTGCTGCATGTATGTAAGTGCACTTGTGTCACACAATGCCCGCAGAGGTCAGAAATAGGCATTGGATCACCTGGAACTGGAGTTACAGATGGTTGTTAGCCGCCATGTGAGTGCTAGGAATGAAATCCAAGTCCTTAGTAAGAGTAGTCAGTGCTCTTAACTGCTGAGCCATCTCTCCAACAACTCCCTATTTATTTTTCTGGTCTTTTTGAGACAAGATCTCCCTGTAGCCCCAGCTGGCCTGGAACTTGCTATGTAAAACAGGCTGGCCTTGGACTCACAGAGATCCACCTGCCTCTGCTTCCCTAGTGCCTGGGATTAAAGACGTGCGCCACCACTACCGGCACCCCCTATTTATTCTTAAGCCCAGTGGACATTCATGTGTTTAGTTTATTGCTCTTAGAAGCATATTGCCGTGACTAGGCAGTGTGATTCAAAACTGTGTCATTATCTGGGGGCTATAGGCTTAAGTGGAGAGTTTGGAGATCTGAATAGCTCTTGCCTGATTTTGTTTGGTGGAGAAGTTGTACCAGTTTAACCTCCCATCTCAGATGGTACTGTATCTCTTTGCCGACAGAAAGCATCCTCATACTTCAGCCAGCCTAATAGGTAAGGGGTACTCGTATACTTTTATTTCCATTTCTTTTGTGAGTGAAGCTTAGCATCTTGTCATTATTATTCCCTTTTCTGTAAATTAAGAAATGTCTTCTCAGGAGAAATGTAGGTAGAGTAACCTAGTAAGTCCAAGCATAGACGTTGGAATCAGAGATCCCAGAGCCCACACTCCTCATCTGCCTCTTACTGGCTCAATGACTAAGTTTGTCTTTAACATATGCCTAACCTGTAATCAGTACTTATTAATGGTAGTATTGATTTGGGTCAGAGTTGGATTCAAAAGCAAACTGGTTCAGGGAAAAGCAAGACCTACTGGTTCCTGTAACCGATGAGGCTAAACAGCACATTCTTGCTTCAGTTATGGCACTGAGGCTATCTCTGCCACTGTGGGTAGCTTCAGCCTTGGTCGCACTTCCATAAGCAGGGGCTACAATAGGACAACAGTTTAGAGTCTATCCTTACAACTTGACACCTCAAATGGAAAGAGAATTTTTTGCCTAGTCGTCTGGAGCCATTCACTGTGACTCTGATCATTCAGGTCTCTCAGTTGCTCATCCCAGTCTGTGTGGATTAGAAGAGGCAGAGAAGGGCAGTTCTCTGAAGACGAGCCAACAGAGTGAATGCCAAGCAAGCAGACACAGCAGATGTCCATGGCAGAATGGCAGCAGTGATTCTCACTGCCAGTCACCTCCCACTGCCTCCTGCCTCCATGCTGCTTCACTTTAACACCAGCTCCTTCATCTGTAACTCTAAGAAGCCAAGCCTTACTTGTATTGTTTCTGCCCCTACAACCAAGTCCTTCCTGGGGTTACTGCGGAGGATGACCTGCGGGGTGTAACTACCCAAATATTTGGGTAAATCTTTTGCAGCCTCTTCCTCCTCAGGAATCAACTTGCTAAAAAGCCAGGATTAGGGAAGTCAGAAGGAAGAGCTGAACCAGGAGACTTTAGTGAAGCAAAACAGGGTTCTGAAGTTCAGAACCCAGGCTTCCCGTAGTCCTTAAATTTACCAACCCTTTCCCTTGTCATTATTACAGGGTTGTTGTAAATATTCCTGGATGCTATGTGTAAAGTGCTCTGTCCAGTGCATGGCAGCTGGTTGGGGAGGAGAGAAAAGCAAGTAGTATTTAAATGGCCTGTTTTCCTTTAAGCAAATTTTTTTTTTTTTTTCGGTCTTTTTGAGACAGGGTCTCCCTGTAGCCCCAGCTGTCCTGGAACTCACTATTTAGCCCAGGCTGGCCTTAAACCCACAGAGCCCCGCCCGCCTCTGCCTCCCGAGTGTTGGGATTAAAGGTGTGTGCCACCACACCCAGCCAAGAAATTATTTTATAACCGGGCAGGGTGGCACACACCTGTGGTCCCAGCACTCAGGAGGCAGAGGCAGGCAATCTCTGTGAGTTTGAGGCCAGCTTAATCTACATAGTTCCAGGCCAGCTGGGGCTACAGGGAGACCCTGCTTCGAAAGACCAAAAAAAAAAAATACTTTATGTATATGAGTGTGTTGCCTACATGTGTGTAACTTCACCTGTGTTGTGCAGTGCCCACAGAGGTCAGAAGAGGGCATCAGATCCCCTGGAACTGGACTTAACGATGGTTGTTAGCTACCATGTGGGTGCTGGGAATTGAACCTGGATCCTCTGCAAAATCACCTAGTGCTCTTAACCACTGAGCCAACTCTCCAGCCCCTTCCCCCATTTTCCTTTTTATTTGTTTATGTGTATAAGTGTTTGCCTATACGTATATAAGTGTACCATGTGCATACAGTGCCTATGTAGTCCAGAAGAGGGCTTCAGATCTATTGTAACTGGTGTTACAGATGGTTGTTAGCTGCCTTTATAGGTGCTGGAATGAAACCCAGGTCTTCTGCAAGAGCAGCCAGTGATCTAACCACTGAGCCATCTCTAGACCCAGTTCAAAGTTTTTTTAAGAATGCCTACTTAAGGGCTGGGGAGATCGCTTGGTGGGAAAACCATGATGGAGGGGTGAGACAATGCGAAAGATAAATAATGCCTAGCTAGTTTTAAAAACCAGAGGGAACCATATTACTCCAAAAGCCTACTGACAAATTATACATAGCAGATCAAGAAATATATGTCTAGGCAAGGTTTATCTGAGAACAGTTGGTCTTTTCCCAAGATTTATCTACATGATACACAGTAATTAAAAGTACCAAAGTGGTGGAACTAACCTTCTCAGGTG